TGCCTCAGTCTCTCAGCCTGGTGCTGGGTCGGGTTGGCGTTACACCAATGAAAAGCTACTGTAACTGGATGGTTCTGGTGCCAATGGGCGGTCCCGTCTTTTCCTCAAAACAGTCCCTATGATTCACCACTGCAAACAAAAGTCCTGCCCCCCCCCAAAAAAATCCCTGCATTCTGAAATATGCCAGGTTTGGCAACACTCCCAAGAACAGTAGTTCTCAGTGTGATTCCCAGGTCAACATCCTCAGGTGCCCTGGGGACTCGCTACCAGTGTAAGCGAGCTCCCTCCCCTACTCTGACAACAGAGACCAGCAATCCCTTAACAAGCAACCCAGGTGGTTCCAGGACATGCCAAATGTTAGCACTTACTGAGGGCTTCGCCTGAAAGTACCGCTCCCCCCAACCCCCCCACCCCACACCCCCCCACCCCACACCCCCCCACCCCCGGGCCAAATCAGCCCCTTTGAAATGGAATTCTAAACTCAAGAGTTGGATGGCAGATATGATGGTGATTGTCTTTAATCTCAGATAGAGACAGGAAGATCTCTGTGAGTTCGAGAACAGCCTGGAACTGTTTGAGGACAGTCAGGGCTATTTTCTCAAACAAGACAAAAACAAGTGTCAGACTACACAGCTTTACTACCAGAAATCACAAAGTTGAGCAATCTGACCAAGACAGCGTGGGGAGCCCGCCCTCTAGTGGAGAAGAATAAGTTGGCTCCTGCTTCACAGGCAACTTTAAAAAACAAAACAATACCCCCAAAACAGGATTTCTCTGTATTGTTTTGGAGGCTGTCCTGGAATTCGCTCTGTAGACCAGGCTGGCCTCGAACTCACAGAGATCCACCTGCCTCTGCCTCTTGAGTTCTGGGAGGCAACTTTGTTTTTATCTTTTTTGTTTTTGGTCCCTTCGATCTCCCAACTTCTTTCCTTTCTTTCTTTCTTTCTTTCTTTCTTTCTTTCTTTCTTTCTTTCTTTCTTTCTTTCTTTCTTTCTTTCTTTTTTTACATTCCAATCCCAGTTCCCCCTCCCTCCTCCCCTCCCCCCCCCACTTCTCTATTCTGCTCCAAGGAGAGGGTAAGGCCTCCCCTAGGAAGTCTACTAAGTCTGTCTCACCACCTAGTTGAGGCAGGAAGGACCTAGGTACCTTTCCTCCCCCACACCCCTGTGTTTAGGCCTGGCCAGGTATCTCTGGGAGGCAACTCTTAAATACCTTATTTTTATTACAGACGTTTGTTGCTAGCTTAGAGAAAACTCTTTTTCTTGCCATTCCAGAAGTATTATCACTTCCAGTTACAGCTGGGAAAATGCAATTCAGGCGGGTCACTGAGGTTCCAGCAGCAGGGAATTTGGAACTCCAGCTTCACAGCAAAGTGTGTGTGTGTGTGTGTGTGTGTGTGTGTGTGTGTGTGTGTGTGTGTGTGTGTGTGTGTGTGTCCCCGCCCAGGAAGTAATCTGAGCCCAAGGGAAGGGACTAACACAAACATCAGCTCCACTCCACCTCGCCCCCAACACTCAATTCTCAGCCCACTAAGACACAGGGATGACTCTGGCTGGGCAGCCACGGGCACAGGCAAACTTCTGTGGGTCTTGGTGGCGCACTGCAGCCCAGAAAGACCTCGGGCAGACAGACCACACTTTAATCAAGACAGACAGCACTGAGCTGTGCACGCCTCTGACCTCTAAACGTGAACCTCACGTTACAATCCCTGAAGGCAGACCTGAGCAGTCACATTCTTCCTTCCGATATGGCCACATTTGAATACATCTCCTTTTTTCTGCTTCTTGCCACCGCTTGTTTCCCTGGCTGGCCTATTGAAGACCCGCGGCGGAGCCTTGTTTTTGGGGCCCAGGCCCTGACGTCGTCTCCGGCCCCGTTCCCAGTTCTTCATGCCCTCCAAGCAAATGAGATGACTCTACTTGCTGCGAGCACCTATGTAGCGGGCGTAGCGGGTGTAGCGGGTGTAGTGGGCATAGCGGGCAACTGTGTGGCTGCCTTTGGACAACGAAATGCGAGCAAAAGTGACTAACGAGCCCAGCACGTGTCTACCAATTCGCTGCCTCCTGCTGCACTGACTGGGGGAGCCGGTAGTGCCTCGGTGGCGGCATATGACTGGGGATGACACCCTCCCTGGATGAGAATTCCAGCGCAGGGTGGTGAAAATGAGCCTTTGTGTTTTGAGATCCGGGGTCCCTTGTTGCCACAGCAAATCCCGAAGCATGGCCTTTAAGTCTGTCCCCTCCTTTGATTACTTCGGATCACGCCACCTTTATCAGATCTGTTGCACTGGAACTTCACCACTGCCCTGGCAGGGAACACAAATCAGGAAAAGTGGACAGCCGAAGTCTGGAAGAGTCTTTGAAGCGGGTGGGGGAGTCGAGAATTGGCTAAGTGGGAGGGGCTAAAGAGGTGTGGCACACATTTTCCTCACTCACTCACCGGGCCCACGGGTACCAAGCACACACACAATCTTTACTGGGTGCTTTCTCCACGTGTGGAGTAGTCTACAGGCTTGGATAGTAAAGATGGTTCGGGTATGAAGAAGCTCCCAGACCGTGGGGAAATCCCCAAACTACGGGGGGGGGGAAGGCCCAAGAGGTCAAGGGTTATCACCAAGAACGCTGCAGGGGAAAAGAGCAGCAGCATTTAGAAGAACCGAGTGCATTCGGTTAGGGGATGTGGCTAGAGACTGTCAATCTTCAGAGCAGAGGCAAGCTTGTTGGAGGAGGATGCTGAGAGACAGTTAATGAATGAGCTTTAAAACACGGAAACCATTCCTCACATTGGTTTTGTTGTTGCTGTTTGTTTGGTTGGTTTGGTTTTTCAAGACAAGGTCTCTCTGTAGCTTCCGGAGCCTGTCCTGGAACTCACTCTGTAGATCTCGAACTCACAGAGATCCGCCTGCCTCTGCCTCCCGAGTGCTGGGGTTAAAGGCGTGCGTCCACCGCCACCCAGAAAAAACATGTGTAGCCCAGGCTGGCCTCGAACTCGTAATCCTCCTGCCTCCGCCTGCTTCAGCAAACCCTACCGGCGTGCACCGCCACGAGCAGCCCATTCCTCTTATCGAGGACGTCAAGAGCACCATGCACTATCCACAGTCTTTTCACAGGCAGTGTTACCTGCCTCACTTCACAGATGGTGAAAGCCAAACAGAGGCGTTTGTAGAGTGTAGCCTTCCCCGCCATCCGCCTGGGCCCTGCCACAGTTGCAGTACCCAAATAACACACAGGACGCTATATTAATTATGAAGCTGTTGGCCGTTTGCTTGTTTCTTACTGGCTAGCTCTAACTTAAGTATTTAACTCATAATTGTTAATCTAAGTATTTCTCTTACCGGAGGAAAAGGTCCGGACCTCTTACTTCTCAGGCCACCTACGTGGTGTCTCTGCCTCTCTTTCCCAGAATCCTCCTGGACTCCTAGTCCCACCTATCTTGCTTGCCTATTGGCCAACAGTGCTTTATTCAACAACCAATAAGAGACAGATTTACAGAATGACATCTCCCATCAGGGGTTAAGTAACTTGGCCCAAATTTTACACCAAGAGCAGCTGGAGGAAAACCAGCTTGCTAACTCTACCCACCGAGAGTGTTCTTTGTTGCCTCATCAGCAGGGCATTGGTTGCTAGATGTGCTTTGGAACATGAGGCGGAGTGGCAGGGGTGGGGGAGATTGGAAGCTATGCAAAGGATAGTTACTTTTTAAAACAAAAGGGAAGTGGCTGAGGGGATGGCTGAGTTGGCCCAGTTCTTACGGTGATGACCTGAGCCCATGCAGATAAGGGTCTAGATGGAGCTTAGTAGGGAGACCTAGGATGAGAAGAAAACAGCAATTAGCAGGGACTGGGCGGTCTTGCATAAGCTGAGGATTTACCTCAAGCAAGTTTATGACAAAGCACACCTTTAATCCCAGCACTCAGGAGGCAAAGGCAGGTGGATCTCTGTGAGTTTGAGGCTAGACTGGTCTACAGAGCGAGTTCCAGGACAGCCAGGGCTACACAAACAAACAAACAAACAAACAAATACAAACAAAGAAGTACAGAATCTCACCCACTGTTTGTAGGGAGAGAATGGGCCAGTGTCAACAGAGACAGTATTGGCAAAGAGAACACAGGATTCCTTAGCCTCAGCTACCTTGGGACTGACAGCCACAGCCATTCAGGGGAGAAAGCAATTGTCTCCAGGAACTGAAATCTTAACTCCCTCAAGGCCCAGGTCCCAGCCCCAGGCCAGACCTTGCCAAGTCTGTTTTTGGCAAGGACACAAAAACTAACATGCCCTTTGTCCTTTCATTTGATCCTCTGAGAAAGTCTTGGGTCAGCCTGGCTCCCAGCCACTGTGCAAGGATGTGGATCGGAGTTCGGATCCCTAGCATTCATGCAAGGAGCTGAGTGTGGTAGCATTTACTTGTAATCCCAGTGATGGGGAGGCAGGGATAGGAGGATCCCCGGGACTTGCTTGCCGGTCATTCTAACCCAATTGGTCCCAGCGAGAGACCTTGTCTCAAAGAACAAGGTAGGGAGGGGCTGGGGATATGGCTCGGTGGTTAAGAGAGCTTGCTCCACAAACTGAGGACCTGAGTTTGAATCCTCAGTACCTACGTAAAAAAAGTTGGTTGTGGCATGCACACCTGTAACCCAGCACTGTGGGGGGATGGAGACGAAGATCGCTGTCGCCTCCTGGCTGCTCTAACTGAAGTAAGAGACACCGTCTCCTGGGAGTAAGGCAGGGGGTGTTAGAGGAAGGCATCCATCCTCCTCCTCTCCTCTCCGTGCACAAGCACAGGTGCACATCTGCCTCGATCGGCCCAGCACGTGCTTACGTAACACAAAGCAACAACAAAGGCTACCAAAACCCCAAAGGGGACCATTCTTGACGAAGGATATCTCAAGTTGTCCTCTGGTTTCCACATACACATGAGCACACACTTGTGCATGAACACACACAGTACAGGTGCCAAAAAAAAAAAGTACATGTGAATGGAGAAGCCAAGAAAAAAAGGAATTTTTTTCCAGAAAGTGTTCTTGATTTTTATTAGAGTATTAAAAAAAAACAACAGTATCTTATTTTTTGTTCTTCAAAGGAATAACAACAACTCCTTAATATGAAGTGAGTTTTCGTGGGGGGGTCTGAGAGCATGTGGATGGGGGAGAGAGAATCTGATATTCGGCGGGGGAGGTACCAACACTAAATATTGACCAGGAAAGGATGACTCCTCCCAAAACACACACACACAGACACACACACACACACACACACACACACACACACACACGCACGTGCACACTCACAGACACACAGAAGTGGCTTTGTTTAAAATCGCATACTTGATACTGGGGAGCTAGACTCTGGGTTGGGGCTAATCAGGCCGCACTTGCTCACAGCAGCTGTTCCTCTCACAGCCTCGCAGCCACTGACGAGCCCCTTTCAAGCCAAGAATCTGTATGAGACTCCAGGAAAGAAACACATCCTCAGACCAGACACTACCCGAGCTATGCCCATCTCCAGCCCTCTTTACCTCCCCAGTGGATTTTTGGGATTCCTGCTGCTTGCCAGAGGGTGACAGGCACTCCACGCAGAGCCTATGAGTCTGTAAACAAACTCCCCTGGATGCCAGAAGAACAGCAGGCGTCCCTTTCATGTCACTTTTGGACTAGGTTGTCAGTTTTGGGGGGGCACCAGAGGACTACCTGTGGTGACACATCCTCCCACCAGACTGAATACCAGAGGGCTGCCCATGGTGACACATCCCACACCTGTACAATGGGTACACCTCAATAATAAGATGTGTACTTCCCTCCCAGCCCCCCAAATCCTCAGAGTCCCACATTCCTATTCCAGGACACCCCCTCCCCGTCCCCACGTGCCCTGCAATCCACAAATCAGAGACAGACTGACCATGGAAAACCTGCCTCTTCCTCTGAGACCTACAAGGTTATCAGTCCTGGCTTAGGAGCCTGCACTCCCTTTAGAGCCTGTCTGTCCATGGTGGTAGAGCTAACAGCTCTTCTAATAGACCTCTTACTCCGAAGGATGCGAGGCCTTCCAGGAGGGACCTTGAGTGATTCCCAATAGGCTACAAAGGGGCTAGTTTGTGGAGACACCTATCTTCCAAGCAGGGGGAATCCCTATTGCCATTTTTTCCCTCCCTCCAGCCCTGATTACTATGTGTTTTCAACCATGGAAGCTGTTTTGTTTGTTCCCTGTTTTGTTGGAGGATCTCACAAAACTCTTCACCTCCCGATTGCTGGGATTGCGCTCATTTGCCGTCCCCCCCCCCCCCCCGCACCTGGCTAGTGATTGGCGGACTTTGATATGAAGTTAAATGACAGAAAAGAACACAAGTGTAGGAGGAATGGAAAATTGATAGGAGGGAAGGCTGACAGGAAACAGAGTTTGTTGTAAGCTGTGATGTGCCATCTCTGTGACAGGCAAGGGAAGCCATCCTTTCCCAGAGGCCCCTTGAACACACAAGACAGTTTTTACCAGGGCTGACCACAGTCTGGGAGGCTGAAGATGAAATGATGCGATCGCCACTAACAACGGAACTGTTTCTAAATGTCCACACAGAACAACTAGAAAAAAAAAATGGTTCTAAATTCTCAGAGATCTTCCCAGAATATACAAAGAATCAGGAAATATTGAAAAAAAGAGAAGAGCTCCTGTAACCACCGATCCCCAGATTGTGAAAATATCCCTCTGGCTAAGGTTCCTGCTCGACTTCTGGGACCAAATGTTCTACTGGTCCCAACCATGGAAGAGCATCTAGGACTATTGGGATGTTTTTCTATACGACTAATGTGGGTAAGAGAGCACGTTCGTCTTAACAGAAGCAGTCGACTGATAGTCTCTTTGGTGGCTGAAGGAAGACCATTTCCCATTAAGAAGTTCATTTCCCATGATTCCTACAATGGAGGTGGTCCAATTGTTGCTTATGGTTCAAGGCTCTGCCTGGTCGTGACTCTGCGTTGTTTCTTGATGAGTTGATTGGTGGCCGCAAGGATGAGACACACAGGGTTGAGTGGAAAGCTTCAGGGTGGGCCGTATAAGCCCAGGTTCCGGGCAGCTTGGGAGATCCTGGGATGTTTCCTCTGGGGAAATGGATAATGAGCTGCTTTCCCAGACCTGTGCAGGTTCTTTGCGGAAGGAAGGCGCTGAACACTGGCTTGTGAACTGGAGGCCGCTGCCTGGAGTGGGATGCCGCCCTCCTGACTTTGACACTGCGCTGCCTCCAAGATTTCGGTTTCTTGTCGAGTCTTCTGACTGCTTTCCAACACATTAGAACCTCCCTCTGGAGAGAGCCTGGGTTCTGACCCTGCGAGGTAGCCCTTAGGGTTCCCTTGGTGGCTGGCTTCCAGGCGAAGGGTTTGGACCAAGCGATGCATCTCTAGGTACGTGTGCCATGGAGTCTCAGGAGCCTGACGGCAGCTTCTGTCGACGTCCTCCAGCATCCCCTCAACCTCAGAGTCAGTATCTTCCGGGGACAACGAGCTCTTTCTGTCCTTGTTAATCCAAACCACACTGGTCACCGATTCAGCTGGAGTAAGCGTGGTCCCTTCTGAGAAGAGAAGGCACAGCAGTGTGAGGTCCCTGGGCAGCTCCCTTTGAGAGAAACCCATAGGCTACACATTAAAGGAAGAGGGATCCTACATGCCATGGGGCCCAGACACCAGGACATTGCACACGTATACCCATACATGCAAACACACATGACCCGGCGTGTGCGTGTGTGCATGTGTGTGTGTGTGTGTGTGTGTGTGTGTGTGTGTGTGTGTGTGTGCAGTGATCTATATACGGTTTCTATGTCATTGCCTAGGACAGCATGCACGGGTAAGAAGGGATCGCAGGGACATGCCCTCCGGGGTGCCAGAATGCCAGTACCTTCCCCTCCTTTTCACTTCCTGGTCACCAGGAGGAGAGCACTGTCCGGCCCCACATGCTCCTACCATGAGGCACTGCACTGACAAAGATCTCAGACAACACAACCGAGTGGCCCTGAAATGAATCTTCTGGAACCATGAGTCAAAGCAGACCTCCTCTTGGGTTTTTTTTTTTTTCTGTCTGACGTTTCATTGCATGACAGGCACTCCCATCTGAATTCATTATACGGGCATCACGGGAGAATATTGTTCTTAGCTTATGGGGGTCTGTGTCCCACACGTCTAATGATGATTTTGTCACCGAGGCACCGAGAGTCCATGGACACTTCCGAGAAGTGTCTGTTTTCTCTCTGAGTGGGCTTCAGGCTCATTGCTGACAAAGAACAGTGGGGAGATGGTGCTGGGGGAAATGAGGCCACCAGGGAGCCCCTCTGAGGCCCGGTTTAATAAACCCAAAAGAATCAGAAGAACGAGAGGAGCAGAGGCAGCCATTTCTGCACATGGGTGCGGTATTACATGTGAGCCAGGGAGGGTGGTGATCTATCTGCTCGCACTTAGATCTGGGCTTGCTTTCGGAACGGCGGGCACACCAGCCTTCAAGGTACTCGGATGATCTGCCGGAATTTGAGGATAAGGAAAGATGGGGAGGCACTGGAAAACATGGGAGGTTAAAACCAGAATCCTGGGGCTGGAGAGATGGCTCAGGGATCAAGAGCACTGGCTGCTTTTCCAGAGGACCCAGGTTCGATTCCCAGCACCCATGTGGCAGCTCACAACTGTCCGTGACTCCTGTTCCAGGGGATCTGACAGGGAGGTCTTCATAGCAGGACGCCTTAAATTTCAGTTCCAGTCTGTGGTTCATATAGGACAAAGAGGAAGAGAGAAATGCACACCACACCACACACACACACACACACATACACACATTCGTACAATACTCATACCACACACCTAACACATGCCCACATGCATGCACACACACATACATGCACACACCACCAACACATGCACACAGAAGAAAAGAGGGAAGGGAGGGTCTGGCGGGAGGGGGTGGGGGGAGACACCCATGGCCTCTAGCCACACAGTGGAACCTTCTGCAGCAGCCCCTGCTCACAAATGCTTTAGGATAGGCTCTGCCTTCAATCTTCAAGCTAAAAGAGAATGTTCAGGAACTCAGAAGTTTCATTCTATGTTTTTCCTTTCATTTTAAAAAAGGCCTCAAAGGTTAACTTTAGTGACTGGTGTTACGTGTTTTGCCTGCGTGTACCTATGTGCACCACACGTGCTTGTCTGGTGCCTGTGGTACACTCCCCTGGAACTGGAGCGACAGATCGTTACGAGACACCATGTAGGTGCTGGAATAGACCCAGGTCTTCTGCAAGAGCAACAAGTGCTCTTAACCACTACACACACACACACACACACACACACACGTGTTTTATCTTCACAACTGTTTTGGTTTGATGTGGTCTGTGGGGGGATGGGGAGATGGCAAACGCAGGTTTTGTTCCAAGGCTATGTACACAATCCCTCCATAATCTATGACGCGACCCCCTATCACTGTGGAATGAACTCTGTCTCCCTGAGCCCTGAGTTCTGGCCCAGCCAGTTCCCAGAACTATGGAAGCAGCATAGTCTTTCTTATCCAAAGCCATTCTCTCTGTTTTGCCTGTGGATCTGGTTAAGAGGCTGAACCTCTATGGTCCCCCGCTGATCCTAGCTGGGGGCCAAGCCCACTCACCTGACCAGTCTAGCCGGATCAGAACTAGGAGAAATAGGCACAGAGACCGAGGAAACAGTGGCCGTTGGCCAAATACCTGGCAGAGGCCTCTGTTTCTTTGGCTAAGGGACAGACTGGGCAGAGCCACCCCAATCTAGCCTCCCTGGGCTCGGTTCTGACCGGATCGGCAGCCTCTCCTCTTTCCCTCTTCAGGTGGCCGACCCAGCCGCGGCCCTGCCCTCCTTGGACTTTCGGTTACCCGTTCCACCCACAAAAGTGCCTTTTTTTTTCTTCTTCCAGAACTAGCCCCCTACCTTTAGGGAACACCATCAGGTGGGCCTGGGTCCTCTGCTGTCTCCTCAGACCTTCATACTGGGCGCGAAGGAACCGGATGTTGACTGGAGGCCCTTGACCTGCCGTCTGAGTCCCGGAGCCCTCCGCCATTAAGCAGGAGGCCCCCAGCTCCAAGAAGTTGGGTAGGGCAGGGCACGGGCAGGCCAACCCTTTCATCCGCATCGCATCCGGGAGCAAAGCAAACACCTTGCTGCAGCTGAGGCAGGGGGAAGGGGGGAGGGGAGAGAAAGGGTAGGCGGTGGAGTGAATGTGAGGAGAGGGGCTGGAAGGATAAGGAGAGAGGGACCAGAATGGGGAGGAGGAGGGAGGAGGAGGATTGAGGAACAGCCAAGGTTGGTCCTCAACCAGAGTGGAAGGTTTGGGGAGAAGCCAAGAAAGGGGGGAGCGTAGGGAGAAGGAAGGGGTGAGGGGTTAAGAGGTGAGAGTGGAGAGCAGGGGTAGCTAGGGGTGGGTTGGAGGAGGTGAGGAAGGAGTAGAGGGTAGGAAGGGAAGAGCAAGCTTAGCTGCCACCGCCGCCGGGAGCTTTCTACTCCAGCTGCTCCTCGGGGTGGTGGTCAAGTTCAGAACGCAGTTCCAAGAGCTACAGTGAGATGCCAGTTTCCTGGCAGAGCTGAGCTGGGCTGAGGAGTGCCAGGCACCCGCTCGGCTCTGCACAGGGGGCCTGAACTTAACAAGGCCATTAAAACCTGCTGGTTTAATGAACAACCGTCAAAAAAAAAAAAAAAAAAAAAAACACCTTGAGCAGCCCGTGTACAGGATCACCCTAAGGTCTCCATTGCAACCCCCAACAACCCTTCCCGTGTGTAAAAGCCCAGCCACAAAGTCTGCCATGCCTGCGGAGTCCAGGGGAGCGCTGGCAGGCTTCGAGCCCGCCAGCCCCACCTCTTTGACATTTGAGCGGCCTCTGTGATCTTGACCTTTTCCAACCAGACAATAAGTGGGCAGTTTATTTTGCCCACAGCTATGGGGACCCTCGCCCCCTGTTTGCCAGCCCTTTGAACGGCAGACACTGCCTGCTCTTAGACTAGCTCTCTCAAGTAAATCCTTTTCTTCCTTCCAACGTACTGGATGCCCGCCCAGTACTCTTGCAGAGCAATAGGTGAGGAGGCCCGGGGAGGGTAAATCTACAGTGGGCAGGATAGTTAGTTCACCTGGGCTGCTGTAACAAAGGCCCACAGACTGGGTGGTCCTCGAAGCAGACATTGTTCGTTCGGTTTCACAGGGACCAGGAGTCCAAGATCAAGCATGAGCAGAGACAGTACTTCTGGGGGCTGTGTGGGAGGGTCTGTTGTTCTACGCGGCTTGCTTAGCTTCTGCTGGCTTGCTCTGGCTGCCTGGTGATCTTCGTCTCATGAAGGAATGGCCTCACCTTTGTCTCCTTGTCATGTTCTCATGTATGTCTTGTCTCTCTCTGTTGGCATGTTCTCCTTTTAAAAGGACGCCAGTCATTGGAGTAGTGCTTAACCTAATAATCTCACCTATCTTTGGCTAGTTTTGGTATGGGGTTTTTTTTGCCATTTTTTTTTATATTGAGCTACATACACATTTTTTTTCTCCACTGCCGCTCCCAACCTCATCTCAGTTCAAGTAATTAAACTGGCAATGAACTTACTTCCAAGTAGTGCATGTTGTGGGCTCCGGATTTAGGATTTCAGCAAGAGAACTGGGGTTGAGGGGACATGATTCAGTGCCTGTCAGGTAGGACATGGCAGTTCCATTCAGAGAGACAGGAAGGGGAGAGGAGATGGCAAGGGGGGGGCAGGAAATGGGGATTTGCTTTAGGTGTTATAGTTGGGGTGTCTGTGACCCTTTCTGGCAGCAGGAGGGAGTTGGGTGCTTGATGGGGAAATCTCACCTGAAAATGCCATTGTTTGTGAAAATGATAGTTTATTATTATTGGAAAAGTTCCTTTGTTGGGAATATACAGAATCGGTCCTCCCTCCCTCCCTCCGGTTCGTGAATTGTATGTGCGTATTTGTACGGGTGCATGTGCACATGTGTGTGCCTGTGTGCCTGGCAGTCAGAGGTTGGTGGAGACCGCGTCCTCAATCCACTCTCCACATTGTTTTATGAGGCAGGGTCTCCGTGATGACCTCGGAGTGCAGCGATTTGTTTAGGCCGGCCAATGCTCTCCCAGAATCTGCAGGTTTCCATGCTCTCAGTGCTGGGTTTCCAGACTCATGTCCCCGGTCTTCTCTTTATGTGAGGCTGGGGATCTGTATTCAAGTCCTTATGTTTGCACATCAGTCACTTAACCAACTGAGCCATCTCAGCTTGCCTCTTCCCCTTCCTCCCTCCCTCCTCCCCTCCCTCTTCCCCTTCCTCCCTCCCTCCTTCCCTTCTTGTCTTGCTTTTTTTTTTTTGACTTTTGAGATAGTTTCACTTTGTAGCCCAGGCTGGCCCTGAATTCACGGCTATCCCCCTGCTTCGGACTCCTGCCCCCACCCTGAGTGCTAGGATTATAGGCGCACAGCCATATCTGGCTTTCTTTCTCATTAGTTTCCCACTAGCGTGTCCATGTGTGAATTCGGCACGCGAAGAAGTCCGCCTTCATGCTCTCCTACTTTCTTCCTCCTCCTCTCCTATCCCGGGCCTGCGTTCTCCTCTGTGGTGGGGAAGCTCGTGGTAGACAGTGTTCACATTAAGGCACAGGGGGAAGCAGAGTGATGGGAACCAAAGGTGGGTGTGGTGGTTTTAAAGAAAACGCCCCCCCACAAAGGGAGTGGCACTATTGGGAGGTGTGGCCTTGTTGGAGTGGGTGTGGCCTTGTAGGAGGAAGTGTGTCACTGTGGAGGCGGGCTTTGAGGTCTCATATATGCTCAAGCCATGCCCAGTGTCTCAGACCACTTCCTGTCGCCTGTGCGAGATGTAGGACTCTCAGCTACCTCTCCAGCACCATGTCTGCCTGCACCATGATGATAATGGACTAAATGTCTGAAACTGTAAGCTGCCATGCCAATTAAATGCTTTTCATTTACAAGAGTCGCCATGGTCATAGTGTGTCTCCTCAGCAATAGAGGCCCTTACTAAGACAGTAGGTGTAACCCCCAATAACCATCCCCAACCCAACTAATGATCAACTCCCAAACACTCCATAACCTCTTGAAAGAGTGTCCTAAGTTGGGGACCATGCATAAAACATTCCAACCATAACAGGTGACCAAAGATGGGGAGGACAGAATGTCCTTATCTTCCCCTATGGAGTAGCATCTGAGTGTCTTCTGAGGGAGATTGGCTATCTTCCTGGGGACACAGTAAAAGCTCCACTGTGTCCTTCCCTGAGCATTCTTATCAATTAGTCTGGAGTAGTATCAGGACATTTGCCCATTTCTATACTTACTTGTGTTACAGGGAGCTCACCAGAGATGACTTCCTAGATACAGTGTGCAGCCAATTAGAAGTCCTTATTCCAGCTGGCTGGGACCATGCCCAAGTGTCCAGAACATGTTTTTTTTTTGTTTTGTTTTTAAGCAGAAACCACATCCTGGCATCTCGCTCTGTCTCTGGAGGGAGTTGCAGCTCCGTTGAAGAAGTAAGCAGTTTGGAGCAAGCAGATGTAACAGAAGCTAAGATAGTTAGCTAGGACTTCCTGACCTTTGGTTCCTAGGACAGTTAGGTAACTTTTCACGGGATTCTGCACAAAGGAGATAAGATTCCCGTTAAACCTGAAATGGCCTTGGCATGAGTACAAGATGGAGGAACCTTTGAGCTGTCTCTCCCTGCCACACCTGCTGCTCTGGGGAAGCCTGTTTTCCGGCTACCCGAGACTCTCGCTCGTTAGAGGACAAGTTCTAGGAGAGAGAGAGAGAGAGAGAGAGAGAGAGAGAGAGAGAGAGAGAGAGAGCTTGTTCTGTTTTCATTTTTTAAATATGAATTCCTATAGCCCAGGCTAGCCTCAAACTTGGTGGACAGCCAAGGCTGGCTTGAAGCCCTGGTCCTCTGGCCTCCACCTTCCTAGTGCTAGAATAGCAGAGGTTTGCCCCAGCTTCATCCCAGTCTTTCCTTTTCTTTTTAAAGAGACATCTTTTTAAATTAATTTATGTTTTCCTTCAATCCCAGTTCCCCTTCCCTCCGCCCCACCTCCCTACTCCCCCCTCCCCCGTACCTCCCATCTACTCAATGGAGAGAGTAAAGCCTCCCCTAGGAGGTCTACTAAGTCTGTACCATCATCTTGTTGAGGCAGGACCAAGGCACCTCCCCACCCCCAACACCCCTGTGCCTAGGCTGAGCAAGGTCTCTCTCCATATAGAATGGGCTCCGCTAAGTCAGTTTGTGCATTAGAGTTAGGTCTTGGGCACACTGCCAGTGGCCTCATATATTGTCCCAGTCACACCATTGTCACCTATATTAAGGAATCTAGCTCAGTCTTATGCAGATTCCCCATTTGTCAGACCTGAGTCAGTGATCTCTCATTAGCTCAGGTCAGCTGATTCTGTGGGTTTCCCCATCATGGTCTTGACTCCTTTGTTCAAGTTATTACTCCTCCCTCACTTCAATTGTTCTCCAGGAGTGCAGTCCAATGGTTAGTTGTGGATTTCTGCATCTGCTTCCATCTGTTTCTGGAAGAGGCTTCTGGCTTCTCTGGGGTTGTAGATTGTAGGCTGGGTGGGTGTCTATTGCTCTATGTCTGGTATCCACTTATGAGTGAGTACATACTATATTTGTCTTTCTGGGTCTGGGTGCCCCTGATATCAACCCACACATCTGTGAACACCAAATTTTTGACAAAGAAGCTAAAAATAAAATAAAAAATAAACATATTCAACAAATGGTGCTGGTGGTGCTGCTATTACCTGACTGTCAACATGTAGAAGACTGCAAATAGATCCATATCTATCACCATGCACAAACTCAAGTCCAAATGGATCAAATACCTCAATATAAATCCATTTGAACCTCATAGAAGAGAAAGTGGGAAATACATTTGAATGCATAGGCACAGGAGACCACTTCCTAAATAAAACACCAGTAGCATAGACACTGAGAGCACCAACTAATAAATGGGGACCCCCTGAAACTGAGAAGCTTCTGTAAAGCAAAGGACACAGTCAGCAAGACAAAACAGCTCCCTAAAGAATGGGAAAAGATCTTCACCAACCCCACATCTGACAGAACACTGTTTTTACCCTCCAAATCTTTAACTTCTTTGGAATTAATTGTAGCATTAAAGTACTAGGTATAAGGCAAGAATGTAGCTATTTTTTCCCTGTAGACTATTTTCTAATTGTCACACTTACCACTTATTGAATGAATCTTCTTTTCCCTGTGGTTTGTGTGTAAGAAAAAAAAAGGGGGGGCAACCATCTGCCACCTCGGGTCTGTCTTTAGAAATAAATGACAAGCTGGGATTGAGGCAGGTGCCCTTCCGGGAAAAGGCAGGACTTCTGCCATCGCAGGGCGCCTTTCTTTGTCCCAGCAGATTCTCCAACCAATCAGAAAATAATGGTCAAAGCTGTTGGGTGCAAGGCCCAGAAGGAGGGATGAGATGGGATGCTGTCTGTGTAAACATCTTTTCCTGTGCTATGTGCGTTTAAATGCCATCAAACCCGTGAGGTGTTCTTGCGGTAGATGGACGTGACATGAGGTAGCATAGCAGGGCTGCTTTTAAAGAGGACCCCCCCATTCCCACAGCTCTCACTGGTGTTTACAGTAAAGGAAATCAGGCACAGCCCCCCCCCACCAGCCCCCGGGATCCAAGAATTCATCTATAGCTAATTCATTGAGCTGTAGGTG